TCCCTACAGAAGAGACACAAAGTACCTGCAAAAATATTCAAGACAGATAATACTCTCTCTGGATCCTCAGATAAACAGTACTCAAGTCAAATCCTGAGTTATGCAACATGCACAGGGCAGAGGTAGCTCAACTGCTGATTATGGTATTGGTATAATGCAAGTCAGAAGGACGCTTTCTGCATCTTGGATATTTGTCATTCTTTCCTAAATCTTAAAGCAGACACTATACTACAGCTTTCCCTAGTTGTGAAATAATTCAGAACTACTCCCAGACATTGTGCCATTGCTGATTAACAGGGTGACATCAGAAAAAATGGTGATGCAGCATTATAGAACAAACAGATGTGCTATTCCATTGCATTAACACTAAGCCAAAATACCCTTCAATTATCTACAGAATATTTACATATACTGCACCTCTTTATCACATCACTTCTAAAATAATCTTGAAATGATTAGAATTCCAGCAACTGCCTTAATTGATGCTGCATTTTCCATTAAGAATATAAGAGGTATAGTTATCAAAAAGAGATATTTATCTTCACCCATTTTAGATTAAGATAAAACAATTTACATCATGGCAAATCAGAGAACAGTGTTTCTTCCAAATTACCAAAACATCTGAAAAAAAGCATAAAAACCCACTAGCACATGTGCATACATATTCACACACACACTTAAGGTTACTTACCAAGGAATGTCTCTTTACATGCTCTCTTCGAGTAAACAGCTTCCCACAAATGTCACAACTGAAAGATCTCACGCCTGTGTGAATGAGCAAGTGTCTCTTTAGTGTTCTTCTGTATTTGGCTACATAATTACAGTGTGGACACTTCAGCTTGTTCATGATTAAAGCAGAAGAATCGCCTACAAGAAAAATAAGCCATGAGGAGAAAATATGAGGAAACAAAAAAAAAACAAACCCCAACCTATTTCAATATATTCTGGTTGGCGCACAAAAACAAACTGGTGCAACAACAATAAGGCACTCAAGTTGATTTTCAACAAGCCAATCAGGACAATGCCTGCCTGCAATACTGGTATGTTATGCAGGTATGATCTTGCTTGAAAAATACCTACTTGTAACAAAGGAATTTTTACTGCAGAAATACAAATCAATTATTTGAAAAGAAGTCTTAGTTCATGAATTAGGGTAAGTTAGCTACAGGATAGCAGGATTCCATCTTCTAGATGTCACCTATGCTAGAAAACACTCTATTCCAGAATAGAAGCCTCTAGCTCTGTGGTATGCATTTACAATCTTCTCTCCCAGTATTCTATTTAAAATTGTGTGCAGGAACTGCCTGCCAAGTTCTACAAATAAATAAAAAAAGGAAGTTTAACTAAGCAAGAACGAATAATGACAAAAGGAGTAGGACAGTAAGAGGTGCCATAATTCTGAAATAGCTAAGAAGGAAAGTTATAGGTTCAGAGGTTAACTATTCTCTAACTCAAGTTCTATTTTGGTCCAACAGTAGAAAAAAATAGATAAAGCAGGAAACAAACCTGGAAGTAGCAATATCCCACTTCTTATGATGGAAGAAAACTTTACATATCCCTGGACAAAGGATAACATAGCTTGCTCAAAGGCTATGTACAAAACAGGTTTACTACAGCTGCCTATTACTGCATGAAACAGAATGCTGGCAGGAAGAAAGCAAAAGTAACTGTGTGTTGCGTGCACTGGCCTGCACATCTCTAAGATGCCAGCTGCAAAATCCATCATAACCTGGGAGCTAAACTTCACTAATATTCAAAAAGTCTACCAGAGCAAGCTGCATGTCAATATAATGTTGCGTAACGGCTTATATGAACAAGAAAAATTTTTTAAACCCCACACATTTTAAACTGCAGTCTCATATCCATCAATAGGGGCATGACAGACAGGCAGACATCAGGGCTATAAAATCATCAAATGGTTTGAGTTGGAAGGGACCTTAAAGATCAGACAGTTCCAACTCCCCTACATGGGCAGGCACCTCCTACTAGATCAAGTTGCTCAGAGCCCCATCCAACCTACCCATGAAAGCTTCCAAGGATGGGACTTCCACAACTTCCCTGGGCAACCTGTTCCAGTGTCTCATCACCCTCACACTACAGAATTTCTTCCTAATGTCTAACATAATTCTGTCCTCTTCCAGTTTTGACCCACTACCTCTCATCCTCTCACTACAAGCCCTTGTAAAAAGTCCCTCCCCAGTTTTCCTGCAGGCCCCCCTTCAGGTACTGGGAGAACACTGTAAGGTCCTCCCGGAGCCCTCTCTTCTACAGGCTGAACAGCCCCAACTCTCTCAGCCTGTCCTCATAGTAGAGGTGCTCCAGCCCTTTGATCATCTTTGTGGCCCTTCTCTGGACTTTCTCCAGGAGCTCCATATCCTTCATATATTGGGGGCTCCAGAATTGGACACAGGTGGGCTGTCATGAGAGCTGAGTAAGATATATGGAAATTTACTGGCTTAAGAACAGGCAGATCTCCTAAAACCCTAGTTGTAATACCTTGTCTGCTAGTGAATTTCACCTTCTAATGACTCAATTTCTTCCACTGTAAAAACCAAAATATTTAAAGTAACTATAAACCACATCCCAGTAATAGCTCAAAGTATTACAGGGAAGAGGTAGGCATTACTATCATCCAGTTCTTAAGATCCTCTTTTTTCTGAAGACTTCATGTATTTTAAGAGTCTACGAAGATTTATTTTAGACGTGGTGGCTTTTTTGTATATTTTCAGTCTGAAAAATAATTACAGATAATTGCTTGCCTGAACTATTAAGAAAGCCACATAATCTGTGAAAGGGTAGGCTATATAACACAGGTTTGACTGAAGATGCCTTTAGTTGTGGCTGCACTGAATTCAAACCCATTATTGCAATGAAGGTTTTCTTTTTAACAGTGAGAATTATGCTCTGAGGTCCACTTTTAGAATTATATTTAACTCTGTATCTTCATCATCCAAGTATTCAATTTCAAAGTCCACTTATCTTTAGCTAGTTTACTAAAGGAAGAAAATAAAGTGATTAGATCACTAAAGACCTCCAGTATCTTCATATTCAGGCACTATACAAGAGCTGACACAAACCATGTTCCACTTTTTCTTTTCCATACATTTGAATTCCTTTTTCTCCCTCCAAGGAAGTGGTCCTATTTACACACTACCCAGAAAGTCAAATGATATAAAAGAAAATTATGGGAGCACTTAGCCTTATAAATCTGTACACAAATTGATCAAATTGCACAAACTGATCATCAGTGACACAGAAGATAAAAAACCACTATCAGAGGAAAAAAAAACAACCTCCTTTCCCATCATATATACTTGCCATTTTCCCAAGCTTCTTTTGGCCAAGATTCTGGCAGCAGCCCGTACTTGAAGTCATTTGAAGTGCCCGGCAGCAGTCCATACTTGAAGTCACTTGAAGCACCCGGCAGCAGTCCATACTTGAAGTCACTTGAAGTACCCGGCAGCAGTCCATATTTGAAGTCACTTGAAGTACCTATTACAGACACAGCCTAACTTTAGCTCCTGGGTTCTAATCAGTCATGTTCTTTAGCAAAATATATATTGTTTTTAAAATTGTGACAAAAAGAAGTTTCAAATCCTTATCTTTTTTCAGCACTGAAATCAAGAACTAACTGCATTCCTAATTTTTATGAAATTAAGACCTTTGAACTAATCTCCATGGCACAATTTCTTGTCAATATCCTGAGAAAAACTGAAAGCCTTTTCATTCTACAATAACTTCTATTGTAAGGATATTTATTCCCTCACTATCATTATGACAGGGCTAAAAAGTTTTCCACTGGACTCTTTACAACTGCTTTGTGCAGTGACTTCATCTGGTCTACCACAGGCAGTCTAGTTGGTACAAAAGTAAACATTTTCTACTGGAGGTGTAATTTTCTTTATTGACTTAAAATATCTCAGTGGTATATAAAGTGCTTTAAATACCTCTATTTATATAAAGTATCCTACAGCTATGTCTAAATCCTTTTTTGAATAATCACCTCCATTACTGTATAACCACATCAATTCAAGACACCATAATTACTTGGAATATAGCAGCTTAGAAGACTAGTTGGCATATTTACACTTCGTCTTTGGACAAGCTCTTCAGGCAGTTAGCGTGTTCTTTGTAGCTTTTTTCCTCTTTAAAAGAACAAATTCAAAATTGCACAGTGCTTTAAAAATAAAAAGAACCTTGCCTGTTTAATTCTGTATTTTTTATCAAGTAAGAATTGCATGAATGAACTGCATGTTATTACACAGTACAGAGAACTATAAACAGTACACCAGAAAGCTGCACTAGGCACTTGACAAAATCACACTTGTGGGGCAAACATTATTCTGGCAAGAGTGTAAATCCATTCTCCCCCTAAACCCCAAGACAGGAGTCTGTTTGAAAACAAAAAGTCATAAATCCATTACTTTCCTCACAGGCACACAGTTTTTAAATAAACAAACTGCATGCAGTGGAAACTGGCAGATTTCCTTTTATTTGTCTGGATGTTGTTCAGGTCCTCACACTGAATTCCTTATGCCACTGTTAAGAGAAGTCTGAGAAGGGCTTCATAGCAAATAGACATTTTTACTTTCAAGTCTGAAACTACACATTTTAATAGTCTAAAGACTTTGTTCCTGTAGTGCTCATTCTAAGGACTTTTCCAGGAAAGAAAATTCTCTTAATGTAAACTAGAATTTCATTGAGCTAGTGGTAAGCTGTATACTGAAACACTCATAACCTACAGTTTTACTGGAGAAAAAGTACAGGTTACAAATCCTCACAGCATTAGACATACATAGTGGTTTCATTTACAGCTCGGGCAGTATTACAGTTGGCAGCAGTAGTTTCACCTGTAAGTAAGACAATGGTTTGTAAGGCAATTAATTAACAACCAGGAAGCTTATAATTCTATCCTATCCATTCAACAACTGCAAATGAAAAGCAAAGCTGGATCATCACTGCCAAGCTAGGTATTCCATAGGAGCTTTTAAAAAAGCAGAGCTTGAGTGGATGAAGGAAGAGAAAATGCAGTTTTAGCCCATCCACCTAGCTGCTTTGGTATAGAAAGAAGTAGGAAGAGAGGGAACAAATCTCCCACTCCTTTAAGAAATGAGGTAGAGAGGAAAATAGTTTTTCTTCATTTTTTAAAATTACTGATTCTAATAGCTGTTGTTACCTCCAAAAGAGGCCAGAACTCATTACACTAATTTGGAGCTATGGACTCCAGCAATGGCATCTCACAACAGCTCAAGGAATAGAACACAGATACTCTATAGACATGCCAGCTACACATTCTTTTGAGGTGAGGAGTAAAACTTTCTTCTGCAAGATACAAGAAAGGATTAGTAAGGAAGCAATGTTGTACAGCTCTGGGCAACAGCAAAGATCACTTGGCCTCAAGTCTAAGAGCCTTGAAATTCAAGTAGGCTTCAGAATCTAGGGGAAAAAACAAAATAAAACTTTAATAATCTAAAATACTAGAATTTTTTATTTATATTTTTTCCCCTCTAGTAGAACTGTCCTGTCTCCAGTTGGCCAGTGGAAGGTCAGTGATCAAAGTACTTTAATAAACTTTTCCCCCCTTTTGGGAGGAACATCTGTAGGATGAACAGAACAAGCCTATACTGCTCACAGACCTAATGTACATGCTGTGTATAGGCAGTATTACATAGCTTCCTTCAAAGTCAGCACACATCAAAGACTGTACCATGCTGAGCACATTTATAACCCTGTCACTTTGACAGTTCTTATGCATCTAAGAGAACACAAACTGAACTTCATTAGGAACAGTGCTGCTCACAGCTGGTATTGAAGTTTGAGGGAAGTCAGGAGCTCAAATGCCTGTATAGGTCTAGATACTAGCATAAGACTTGGCACAGAGCCAAACACACTTAAAAGCTAGTCTAGTGTAAATAATAGCTACTAAATCTTTCTACCTCCAATTTGAAGACCTGCTATAACATGAAAGAACACTGGCAAAGATACCACAGGAGATGAAGAGTGTGCTACAGACACTTCAGTCTGTGCACAATACAGGACTAAGTAGATCACAATTAAACCTAATGCTTACTCTTAGACTAATTCGTTGACTTAGAAAATCTGCTTTCTAGATTAAGTACAGATAAAACGTATTCAAAACAAGAAAAAAGGCATATTTTTTATGTCTCATGGCTCCCACACACAGGAAAGACACCAACTACATAGAGACTTGGAACTGGAAGTACACCTAGCCCCTGCTGGTTTCCCCAGGTGGACATCTACCCTGCAGTCAGATAGGCTTCTGACTCTAACTGAGCCAAGCGTAAGATGTTACAGACCCAGACCTCTGTGGCTCCTAATGTCTTCTCCCAATTCCTCCTCTCACCTAGGCTACTGCCCCTGAAACCCGCTTGCAAAACCACAAATACAGTCATCATCTAACCTGTTCCTGTCAACTGAAACCCAGATGATTTTGACCAGAAACTGAAAGCAACTACATATGCAGTTGTACTGCTAGACTGGGGTGGGGTGCAACAGGGGAAATACAGACTGTAGTAAGAAAGATATAAGAAAAAGGGGGGGGAGAGAAAAAAAAAAAAAAAAGAGTGCAACTAGAAGCAGTAATGTTCTGTATCTCCAGAACAGGCCATCTGACCCCAGCTTTCCTCTGATTGAAGGACATATTTTTGCAGTTTAGTTGATTCCTACAAGAGGCATAAGTTACTAATTCAAATGTCAATTAGCCTCCAACATCTACCTATTCTTCTACCCTGCATGGAAAAGTTTTCTATCAGTAACCTTATTTTTTTTTTTCAGACAAAACAAACCCAAAATAATAAAACAGACCACAATTAAACTAGAAAATAAGAGGACAAAAACAAAA